TTCTTAGCCTTTGGACTCCGAAATTCAAGACTTTGCTCAATTCACAAAAGATATTACAGGAAGCCCATACGACCCGGAAAACTGGCTTAATCGAGGTAACTGCCTCCGTCGATTAGGGTACCCGGAACTTGCTCTTGGCGATGTTCAAAAGGCTAGGCTTCTAGTCGAAGCAGCTTTAGAGAACGATTCGACCTTAGGTACTGATGCTTGCAAAGCATATAGCCAAAAGATACGGGAACTTCATCAAACTCACCCAGCATGGGTGCCTAGGAAAGCACAGGTTGCTACACCAGAATCTCTTCGAGCTTTAGTCACAGTTCTATTAAAAAGACTGGAACTTCAGATTTGGTCGGAGCTGATGGAAGGATTAATGGCTTCCAATTGCTGCTCAGATTATCTCGAGGTAAGTAAAGATGCGGTGGCCAAGTTCCCAGATGATCAGGTTTTCCCTTCGGAAGTAACAAATGCGGAATCATGGTTCGAGCAACGGCAAAATATCCTTCAAGGATATGTTGACGATGGAGAAATGACAGCCGAGGCCATGAAAACTACTCTTTACAACGGAGGCGTCTGCCCAACAGCATATCCATGGATGACCGAAGATGTTGTGGCAAGATCCGACGAAGTAATAGAAAAGGTAACGGCCGAATTTACCTCTGCATCATCCAGTTGCGCAGTCGCAAAGAGCACAATTAGATTGGCTATTTCGCCTGAAGAAGTATCAGAGATAGATGTACTTGGGGTTGTGGCAACAAGAGATATTCTAGCAAAAGAATCAGTTCTTGTTGACCCTACGCTTGCTGCTGTAGTTGACAGTGTCGACCGCTGCCCAGCTTGCTGTGGGCCAATTTTGGATAAAATCGAAAATTCATGTTGTAAAACTTTGTACTGTAGCTCTTCCTGCTTTCAAGCTGCGCTGGATAGTTATCATACCATCGTTTGTGGTAAAGATCTAGATTTCTTACTCGAGACCGAATCAGAATCTTTGTTAGACCCCACAGAATCGTCTATAGGATCTAATTTATTTCTCCGCGTTCTCGCTCTTTCTTTGAAAGAAAATGCCGCCAATCCTCTGAAAACTTCTCTCATCTCACGTCTCACGCCCGCGTACAATCCAAATAACCCTCAACTCATTGCGTTAAATTTCAAGGATCACATCATAACACCAATCCGCATTCTTCGTGGGCTTGGTGTCGATGTATTTGCGAACAGTGCATATGATACATGGGTTATGCACACTATCTATTGTCGCTTGCAGAACAATAAACATGGACAAACCTTTGACAATATATGCGGAACCGCCGTAAATCCTTTATATTCGATGTTCAATCACAGCTGCGATGCAAACATCGATTGGAGACACGATGATGAAAACAGCACAGTTACCATGTTTGCCGAGAGAGATATCAAGAAAGGGGAGGAAATGTTTATTTCGTATATCGGCAAAGGCAAGAGTCTCAAGGAAAGACAAGGGAAACTTATGCCTTGGTTTGGCATGGATTGTGCATGTCGCAAGTGTGATGAGGAGAAATTAGAGGCGATGGCGGCAGGTATCGCCATCTGAGCGGGGGATTTCAAGTAGCGAAACCTTTCTTAAAAAGACACCGGATCAACTTCCAAGCTCAATGATACTCATCAAAAACTACCCATGGCTTATTGTTTCATTTTTCTGGGCATCGAAATTGGCATTGACAAGCCTAGGAGTGATCCTTTATTATCTAAGCTTCTTGCAGACTTTTGTCTATGCACGTTTGGCACAACAGCAGAAGTGTTATGTCTGTTGGGTATCGTATTATACTCGACAACTTCATATCGCACTAGATTCTGTAAAGTGAGCTCATCTCATATTCCCTATTCCTGGGTGAGAAACTCAGTCAAATTTATGGATTTCGATCTACTTTAATGATCATAAGCCAGAAATTCTTATATAATAGGAAAAGTGTAATGAAAAGTTATCGAGATTACACAGCAGATCTATATGATCTCTAGATGATATATCATAGACTTGAATCTGCTGTCATTGGGAAAGATTAATCACACGCATGCAGATAGCCATGTCAGCGATAAGTAATACTAACCACGTGTGATATGTGCAACTAAAACCTCTTTTTATTTTAAAAAAAGGCGGAAGCTGTCAGTTTCTCCCCTGGTTTTTAATGTAAGGATGGTGTGTTATTATTCGTCGCCTTGTTTCAACAAGCTAATACTTTCTCCTCCAATAATAATAGAATGTTTCGTGCTTATTCGCAGAATTGCGGGCCATGTAAATCGATCTCCAATGATGTATCATATTTCCTTGCATTGGCACTAGTCATCATTCTGCAGTGTTCAATATCATTGCTGATTTTGTTTACGGCATCCCGATGCAGTACCTGTTACGTTGCGTTACGTGAGTTCCTAAACCTCCGCGGGCTCGGCAATGACATCGCAATTCATTGGAAACTTGTGCCGGCCCATATAACATCTCTATTATCTCGAGATAATGAGATATGCTACTTCCATCGCTCAATGATTATACAAACACTGCACGAATATTTGAAATTAAGGTGAAGCTTGATGCACGAGCTACATGTCAAGCCGTTTTGCTTTTTCAACATGACGACCATTACCTTTACCTATCTAGGAATCATACTTTTTCTCTTCTTATCCCTATGGACCATCTATGGCGCTATATATCGTCTATACTTAAGTCCCATTGCCAAGTTTCCGGGCCCAAAGCTTGCAGCTTTGACATCGTGGTATGAGATCTACTTCAACATCGTGCGTGATGGACAATGGCTTTGGGAAATCAAACGAATGCACGAAGAATACGGTATGTTTGATTCCCTCTTCGACGTTTCATTGTGACTGAAAATTGCAGGCCCAATCGTGCGCATTAATCCTTATGAATTGCATATCAATGATGTGGACTACTATGATGAATTATACGCGGGCAATACGAGAAAACGTGAAAAGTAGGTCATGGACAAAATTACCACCATTTCAGAAATTTGGGTGCTCCGGTATCTTATATGAACTCCTTGAGTCAATTCATTTCCACTCATGCCATCTCCTACCAGTCATTGAGTTGTTGACTTCTTACCCCTCACTCGCGTATTTTTGAGGCACGGAGAATGGCCGGAACGACAAGGTCGATTGACGTGTCTGAGAATGCACTTGAACTTCTCATTTCCCCATTCCAAACATTCATTAGATCTTGTAGGACGTTTATATTAATGTAAATGACAGATATCCATGGTTTGTCAGTGCTGGTGGTTCTCCAGGAAGTTCTTTTGAAACTATAAGACATCACCTCCATCGTCTCCGAAGAAACGCCGTCAACCCTTTCTTCTCCAAGCGATCTATCGTAGCTATGGAGCCACTCATCAAATCAAAAATCTCTCTACTATCTAATATTTTTCAGTCGCATTTTGCCAAAGCAACCCCAATCAATCTTCGGGTAGTGTTCTCATCCCTTACTTTGGATGTGATTTCCGATTATTGTTACGGGGAAGCCTTCGGTGCTCTGACTGATGAGAATCTGGCTGAATTGTGGAGCAACACCCTTTCTCAAATCATGTCTATAACGACTATTGTTATGCATTTCCCTATAGTGTATACGATTCTATCATGGCTACCTGATAGCCTAGCTGGGCCGGTGTTGGGACATCACAGAGTCAGTTGAAAATACTCCCTTCCGTAATCACAAATCGACACCTGACTATAGATACTAGAATTCAAGAAAACAAGTGGCGCGTGTTTTGAATCATGAAGACGTTGGGAATCGTCAAGATACAATATTCCACGAACTTCGCGATAGTAGTCTTCTCCCCCCCGAAGAAAAGACTCTTAGGCGACTGGCTGATGATGGAAATATCATGATTGGAGCTGGAGGTGAGACCACAGCTCAAACTTTAGCAGTATTATTTTATCATCTACTAGATAATCCAAAAAATTTGTCGAGGGTCAAGGATGAAATTAGCACCTTGGGTGAAGACATTACATGGGCGCGGTTGGAAACCCTGCCATTCCTGGTGAGCCAATTCGAAACATTGAAGATGCAAATCGCTACTAACGAACGCTCTAACAGTCGGCGGCCGTAACCGAAGCATTACGTCTCTCAAGCGTGATAACCTCGCGTCTCCCTAGAATCGCACCCAATGAAGACATGAAGTTTCAGAAATGGACAATTCCTGCTGGTGTATGTATAACTATTTTTTATAGCCCTTTGGATTTATTTTCATCGACATCTAAGGACCTGTTTACCATTCTCTCCCCCTTGACTATGTTTACCATTCTAACGAGATCTAGACTCCAACAAGCATGTCTTACTATTTGATCCACTACTCCCCCGAAATTTTCCCCTCTCCTAATGAATTCAACCCGAGCCGTTGGCTTACAGAATCAGTCTCAAGCGATTCGACTACAGGAGATACAGATACCGTGCGCAAACATAGGCTAGAAAAGTATTTTGTACCTTTCTGCAAGGGGACCAGAATATGTCTTGGCATGAAGTATGAAATTCCCTACTTTCCTACCTCTCTAGTGTTTTAACTAACAGAGTAATCTGAAAAACAGCCTAGCGTATGCGGAACTATTTCTCACAACAGCGTATATACTCAAACGCTTTGATGTTGAGCTTTATGGGACTACGAAGAGAGATGTGGAAATCAAGAGAGATCATTTTGTTGCGGCTCCAGCGGCAGGAAGTAAGGGTATTAGGGTTATAGTCACGCATGATAATGGGGAGTAAGGAACTGGCGGGGTGCGATATTTTGAAATGGGTGCTTAGGTACGTTGAAACTTTAGCGGGGGTTTATGTTTTATGGAGGAATTTGCACCACCTGTCTTTCCGCTCTTAATCTCAGGGTGAGGAGTTTAGTCCCATAAAGTATGCAATTGCTGGTGAGTATAAGATCAGCAAATGATTTAGGGTATCACATCCCACCAGTTAGTTCTATCTCAAGAAATATGATGAAACAGTGGTACCAACGGAGCAGGGTTCAAGCCTCTTTATCACCCTACAAGACGAGATTTTTATCCATCCAGCAGTTAACAGCCCATCGTAGATTGGGTTTCAAATGATCCACCACTTCGTCAATACTAGAAGTGACCAAGGCCGTGACGGCGTTTACCGATGTGAATTTATTGTGGTAAGCCCACTCTATAGAATCTCCTCTATCGGCAACAAGAGGGGGGAACACATATTAGGAAGTTAGGGGAGTGCTAACTCCAGTATACAACCTGACTGTGAACCCCTCACCAAATGCCGTAGATAAAGCCTGAATAGTTACTGGGCATTCTCTGTTCTCGTCCCTCTTTCTCTTAGAGCCGCTGAAGACTCCCCCGGGACTGTACAATACATTCATATTTGCAGTAACATTAGCAAAAAGCTCTGTTGCGTTTGTAATAATCGTATCGGGAACTGAAGGATATAAACATCCAAAGGTACTGATGTAGCGAGCAGCATCCGATGTCCAGGGTGGTCTCCCCAATAGATTGACAGAATGGGGTCAAAGGTGATGCAGAAGTTCCGCTATCACCCGGGGCGATTGTAAAAGTATCGATCAACTCAGACCCGGAAAGCATCCAGAAATCGGGATAGATTGCTTGCTAGATGATAAATGACGACTCACATTGGCATGATGGAGCCAAAACATTGGATTGAAGGCAGAGTAACTCAGCTGACTTATACAACCGTATGGGTCTCCACTGGCAATGTGTGCAACGCCATGAGGAAATTCAAGAGAGGAGTCAGGAGGGATTTGGGTGGCCATATTTTAAAATGATGTTGTCTTTGAGATCATGGAATAGATCACACTTATCAAACTTTTCGGCGGCCATGACTTCATTGACTATCTTTGGTCGAGATGTCCCCAGAATCGCTGCATTAAGGAAACTGAAAGAAGTGGAATCTTGAGTCAAGTCTTCACCCGCAGTGTCTGCACCGGTAGTAGGACACCCAGTTGTGTTCAACAGGAACTGCTGAACTTTATTAAAAAGAAGAAAATGGGCAACAGTCTGAGTGCTAGGGGGTGTATCGATCTGGACTGTGACATCACCAACAACCGGAGGGAGAGCTGGAACGGCAACCAAGTCTCAAAACAGAATACGGAAACTCGCAGCCACATCGGTGTAATTGGCCTCGTTGCATGCGGCGGCAATAATTTGAACATGAGTAGCTGGAAATCGCCCTTTTATGAGGCTCAATATAAACGATGCCAGGTGGGAAATTACACGTCGTCATGAGTACAATAGCCCATTTGCGGAGCTGCTGGATTCCAGCTCACACTATCTCATGAATAGTATGGACGACCATGAATACCAGTTATCTGAAATCAGGATAATGGGTCATCTTTTGGCCAGCTATAAAGAAATAAGTGCTTGGATGTACAGAGACCTGAGATATATTAGTCACCTAGTCAAGAAACGGCCTTTGGCGTTGTTTATTTTACAACCACAGTTGAGAGCCAGGCTTATTCGAATCCTATGATGCATCTCCACAATTCAAAAAATCATTAAATAGACTAGGGTCTTGGTAAGCTATTTAAATACTCGAGTCATATATGAACATTCAGATGTCAACTAGGACTTTTTATTCCATGCACTTTCAATTTCTTGATAACTTTGCGGTGATTGGTATTGACTTCCTTGATCGAAACTAAACAAAATGTAAAGATACAAGCATACCAAATTGGGACGTCGTTTTGAAGGTCCAAGACATCTCTTCGCGCAGGTGCAGCTCCAGTCTATACTTCAATGCTGGTTCTAACACCAATCGTATTGCATGACGCCCCGACGCTATCAACACGGACAAGAAGCGATATGGTCGGGCGAAGTGGTGCAATTGCTCTGCCAAACCTCATTTTGAGGAACATAGAGATCTAAAGTAAGGAATTCGGTACATATGGCTTGCAGACAATATAATATTGGTGGTAACTGGCTAAAGTCACATTAGAACCAGGAAGGACTCTGCCACGATACAAGTCTGTTCAACGGTGAATAGAATAACTTTAGCAAAGAATAAAGAACTGGACATGAAGGAGAATGTTCTTGTATACAAAAGAATGCATAGAAGGCTGCTGGATATGTGCCGGACATATACAACGCTAGGATCGTAGCAGTCCCTCTTCGTAAAAAGTCATATTATGGTTGATCATCTGAGAAGCCACTGCCGGGTACCTGAAATAGAAACAGCGTCCGATTCGGTCGAACACTAGGACAAAAATGAATCTATTCTAGGAAGCTATCACGCAAGTTTGTCCATTGTATGGTCGTCCATTGGTGTCCACCTCCATATACATATATGGATGTGGGGAGTCATTTGATTCTAATCATGCAGATTGAGGCAGGACGAAAAAGGCTAGCGGCCTCGGAGAGCTTGCTTCCCCAAGAATAACGGGATGGAAACAGGGGTATTGATACATGATAAATACATAATGGGAGGCGATAGCGGCCAGGCAATTTGTCAAGTCGTCAAGCAATATGTACTGAAATATAGAAATCTCTAACAAGCAAATATCCATTATCGAGTCGTTGAAGAATATACAATGAAACGCCTGACTAGATCTGGACAACCACTCCTCTTTTGAACCACCCATTTACATCAAAAATTACTTTTTTAGTTTACTAATATCTCTTTCAAAGTATAATATAATTTATTGAAAACTTATATTTATATAATTTCAATCATTTTAAATTTATTCTTAAAGTTTTAGATTTTTAAGATTTTTCTGAATAGAAAATCCAAAGCTTCAAAATATCGATTTTTAAATTTACATAAAAATAATATACAAATTGAAACCTCATTTTAAATCTTCAATAACTTTTTAACTACAATTGATAAAAAGAAATTAATCTTGAATCTATATAAAATAGAATAAAAAATTAATCATTATTAAAATATAACTTGAATGAAGAAAAATAATCTCTATAATTTCGAAAGTATCTTATAAATACTTATTAATTAAAGTTTTTCTAAAAAATTTAAATCTTCTCTATTATAAATAATGAAAATTTATAATAAAAATTTATAGTTTATTTTTAATAATTTTTATTGATAAGTTATTATTAAAGATTTTTTGAAAAAAAAATTAATAAATAATTCTTATATAAACTATAAAATCGATATTTTAAAGCTTCAAATCTCTACTCAGAAAAATCCTAAAGATCTAAAAATTTCAGAATAAGTACAAAAAGATCTAAATTGTATATATACATCTCAATAAATTCTATTTATAAATAAAGAAGTTTTTTTTGTTAATTTTGATGGTGAAAGGTAGTACAAAAGAGGAGTGGCTAGAAAGTGGGGTTCACGACTTAGTGCTTTGGTCCAAACTTTTCCCCTTTAGTCCTGACGACTATTGCCGATCAATACGAGCATCTACATACGTGCCAATGAAAGTGACTAGGCCCAAGTGAAGTCTCACTGAGTTTGGCCATGCCTTACCACCAAATGCTCTTTTCCTGACTATACGAGATGCGAATTAGAGCTGACTATAGTCAGCAATCTGTTACATTGCTATGACACGAATTTGCTCTCTAGATTTCGCTTCCTGCGATACCGGTGATACCGTTGATACCGTTGGTTTGAGGTAGCTTTCTACATTCTGCCTTCCCCAGGAATAGGGAAACCTGAATTCGATAGAATACAAAAAACGGCTCACTAATAGAAGTGTGCATGTTCATAAATAACTACTGATGAAAAGCGATCTACAACAAAACCTGCTTCCGCCTCCAAAGCAATGTTAAATAAGCCCAAATCTGAAAATTGAAAAGCTTTACTTGTCAAGTACAGCCTCTTGAATCATCACTATAAAGTGCGTAGTACAATAATGGTCACGTTGGATAGAATTCGATATGCAAGAAATTTGTTCTAGCCCTTGATTGAAAAAAATTGTTACAGGGCGAAACATTTGAATTCAGCAATGGCCTCCTGCTTGTGTGCCGTGTGCCATGGAATTAGCTCCGCCAGATATTTCAACTATATCATCATTCTTGGCGACAGAATGACTTCGAGAAAATACTTTGACCATGAACAATGAGAGATTTGAGCAAGTAAATACCAAGTATCGGTAAATTGATGAATGTTTTCTTAGGAATTGTAGTTGCTTTCGATAAAGAAAACAAGATGCTCTCTTCGTGTCGAGCCCATGACGCTCACAACCGGTGAACCCCTATGCTTATATTCATCCTGGAATCCAGTGATGGCCCTTGTGCTCTCGATATCATAGAGTTTCTGGATCTTCGGTGCAGCAATTTTATATCCGCTCCGTATTCATAGTCAAATCTCTTTTATTGTGTAGAAATACCTTGTAGGTACAGATAGAGTAGATGCGGAGCGTGTAAAGAGGTAAAATTATTCTCACAAGTATGGAAAAAAAAAACTTGAATGTAAAGCACACTGGTGCTGAAGTGTTGCTAATGGGCATGATAGCATATAGTTGGATCTACTAACAACAATACATGGAAATTGTTGAACGCATTCGATACCTTTGTCTGTCATTGCACAGAGCTGGATAATCATGATGTGACGCTATCATGCTGCCATGCCTGGGATTCTCGAAGTTCAATTCGCCTGGAAATAGAATTTAAATGTTAGGTTAATACCTCATTGATATCAAGTTTAAGGTGAAGATTGAAGAGTTAAGAAACATAAACTTTGATAAGTGTACGTATTGCGTTCATTCAGATTGAACTCTGCCTTATGCAATTGACCACTCTAGGTCCCGGAAGCTGTACACTCCATTCTTAGAAACTTTATGCCCAATTATCTAGCGCAACAGAAATCATTAGTTATACGCCTGTTGCCAAAATTTATGACCAAATCATTGACAGCTAGGTATTCTTGGATGGCCTCCAATTTCCAAAGTCTTCGGTTTTGTCCACTTACGGTGACTGTGAGTTACACCTATGATTGGCAATAGACTGCGGTCTTCCCCAGCAAGATAGTGTTGTATTTTTGGTATCATATTAGTTCATCTTTTGCACTATGACGACAATGAGTTGCGACATTGGCTCCTCAATTTATCTATCTTATTTTCAAATAGTATTCGAATCTATATTTGGGGTAGAGCTTAAGGAAGCGTCAGATTCTCGATCGTATGAGTGACTTCAGGTACTAGGTGTGCAATCTGATTTGGATCACGCATGGCTATAGTAAGATCGTCCGGGAGTTTACCAGAGTAAAGAAGGTTCTACTACAAATTAGTGATTTCTTTTGAGAAGTTTGTGATTTTACTTACCTTTTTGACAGTGTCAAATGTATCTTCTTTCTCGGTATAGTCGCGAATTACCTTGCTTGTGTTGAAATCGACATAGATCCTAGTATCTCGGATCCTAACGAGAACATTATCGAGTCTCATGAACA